AGCCCGAAATTCAAAATTAAAATTAAAATTTAAATTAAAATTAAAATTTAAATTAAAATTAAAATTTAAAAAAAAAATCCCAGGAGATGTTGGGGATTCCTTTGCTCTCCTTCACATTTTGGGGCTTAAAATGGGGAAAATATTGGAAATATTGGAAATAATATTGGAAATAATATTGGAAATATTGCAAATAATATTGGAAATAATATTGGAAATAATATTGCAAATAATATTGCAAATAATATTGGAAATATTGGAAATATCGGAAATAATATTGGAAATATCGGAAATAATATTGGAAATATTGGAAATATTGGAAATAATATTGGAAATATTGGAAATATTGGAAATAATATTGGAAATATTCCCCTCTTCATCCTCAAATCCCGCCGGGAATGGGAAATTTTGGGGGGAATTTCTCTGGTTTTATTTGGGAATTTCCTCCTTTTTTCCAGGAATTTCCTCCTTTTCCAGGAATTTCCTTTTTCTCTCCTTCAGATTGTGGCGTTTGGGGTTAAAATGGGAAAATATTGGAAATATTGGAAATATCGGAAATATTGGAAATATTGGAAATAATATTGGAAATATTGGAAATAATATCGGAAATATTCCCCTCTTCGTCCTCAGGGATGTGCACCTCAAATCCCGCCGGGAATGGGGAAATTTTGGGGGGGATTTTTTGGGGGGGATTTCTCTGGTTCTGTTTGGGAATTCCAGCGGTTTCCAGATGTGCTGGGGCGATGGAGCTGCTGCTGTGCAGGGATCTGCTCCTTCCAGGAATTTCCTCCTTTTCCAGGAATTTCCTCTTTTCCAGGAATTTCCTCTTCTCCAGGAATCTCCTCCTTTCCAGGAATCTTTTTTTTTTAATCAGGAATCTCCTCTTTTCCAGGAATTTCCTCCTTTCCCAGGAATTTCCTCTTTTCCAGGAATCTCCTTTTTTTCCAGGAATCTCCTCTTTCCAAGAATCTCCCTTTTCCCAGGAATTTCCTCCTTTTCCAGGAATTTCCTCCTTTTTTTCCAGGAATTTCCTCCTCTTTCCAAGAATCTCCTCCTTTCCAGGAATCTCTTTTTTTTTTTTTAGGAATCTTCTCCTTTTCCAGGAATCTCCTCTTTTCTACGAATTTCCTCCTTCCCAGGAATTTCCTCCTTTTTCCCAGGAATTTCCTCTTTTTTCCAGGCGCCGTTTCCTCGCTGCCCATTCCCGCCGGTCGCACAGGATCGGGAGGCGCGGGGATGCAGCGGCGGCCGCGGGCGTTCATTAATGACGGCGTGTTAATGAGACAGCGGAGTTAATGAGCCGGCAATGGGCCGTTCCCAAGGGAAGGTGACAACGCGACACTTTCGGTGCCAGCTCCTCACCGAGATAAGCCGGGCTTTATCAAAGTTAGGCCGGACTCGGTGCCTTTTTCAGCCGGAGTTCTTTTCCAGGATGAGCCCGGGATTAGCGCAGAGTTCCGGGAATTCTTTCCGGGATTCCTTCCGGGAATTCTTTCCGGGAATTCTTTCCGGGAATTTTTTCCGGGAATTCTTTCCGGGAATTCTTTCCGGGAATTCTTTCCGGGAATTCTTTCCGGGAACGGGACACGCGTGGGGATTTCGGTCCACGGCGATCCCGAGCTCGGGATTATCCCAAATCCAGGAGGGAATTCAGGGCCGTGCGGCTGCCCGGGCTCGGCTGGGGCAGTGCGGCAGGGGCACCGTCCCTGTGCTGGCACTGTCACTGTCCCTGTGCTGGCACTGTCACTGTCACTGTTTCTGTCTTGTCACCATCCCCCTGTCCTTGTCCTGTCACCGTCCCTGTCCTGTCGCCATCTCTGTCCCTGTCACTGTCCCGCGGCTGTGGCTGTCCCTGTCACTGGCCCATGGCTGTCTCTGTCATTGTCCCTACGGCTGTCCCTGTCACTGTCCCTGTTCCTTTTCCGTGTCACTGTCACCGTCCCATCCCTGTCACTGTCCCTGTCCCGTCGCTGTCATTGTCACTGTCCCGTGGCTGTCAGTGTCCCATCGCTGTCACTGTCGCTGTCCCTGTCCCATGGCTGTCTCTGTCACTGTCCCTGTCCCTTCTCTGTCACTGTCCCCACGGCTGACTCTGTCACTGTCCCTGTTCCTTTTCCGTGTCACTGTCACCGTCCCATCCCTGTCACTGTCCCGTCACTGTTGCTATCACTGTCACCGTCCCATCGTTGTCACCGTCCCATCGCTATCGCTGTCCCTATCCCGTCGCTGTCACTGTCACTGTCGCTGTCACTGTCCCGTGGCTGTCACTGTCCCATCTCTGTCCCTGTCACTGTCCCATCTCTGTCCCTGTCACTGTCCCATTGCTGTCCCGTCGCTGTCGCTGTCCCGTGGCTGTCGCTGTCACTGTCCCATCGCTGTCACTGTCCCATCGCTGTCACTGTCCCATCGCTGTCGCTGTCACTGTCCCATCGCTGTCGCCGTCGCCGCGGCGCTGAGGCAGCGCTGTGCCAGCAGGGCCAGGCCGATGGCGAGCGGTGTGGCCAGGCCGGGAGGGGACAGCGGCGCGGTGGCGCTGACAGGGGACAGGGTGGCGAACACGGCGTCAGACGCGTTCCGCGGCAGCGGCAGGTTACAGATACTGCCCTCACAGCACGACGTGCACACCTGCAGCGCGGGAAAACGGGGAATGGCGGGAAAACACGGGGAATGGCGGGAAATAAACAGGGAATGGCGGGAAAACGGGAATGGCGGGAAAACACGGGGAACAACAGGGAATGGGAGTAACGGGGAAAACAAACAGGGAAGAACGGGGAATAACAGAGAATAACGGGGAATAACGGGGAAGAACAGGGAATAATGGGGAAGAACAGGGAATAATGGGGAAGAACAGGGAATAATGGGGAAACAGGGAATAACGGGGAATATCGGGAATAACGGGGAATATCAGGAAAACGGGGAATAACGGGGAAAACCGGGAATTACAGGGAATAACGGGGAATAACAGGGAATAACGGGGAAAACAAACGGGGAACGGGAATAACGGGGAATGGGAATAACGGGGGAAACGGGAATGGGAATAACAGGGAATGGGAATAAAACAGAGAATGGGATCAACAGGGAAAAACAGAATGGGAATAACAAGGAATGGGAATAACGGGGAATGGGAATAAAACAGGGAATGGGAATAAAACAGGGAATGGGAATAACAGGGGAAAACGGAATGGGAATAACAAGGAATGGGAATAAAACAGAGATTGGGAATAACATGGAATGGGAATAACGGGGAATGGGAATAACAGGGAACGGGAATAACGTGAATGAATAAATGTAATAAATGTAATAAATGAAAATTTAAAATAAAATGAAATAAAAATAAAACAAAAATAAAATGAAAATAAATAAAATAAAAGAAATTAAAATAAAACAATGACATAAAATCTTTCTTTCTCAAACAATCCCATTCCCCAATAATAAAATGATGTATTTATTTTTAATTTCCCCCACCTTGTACTCCTCGTGTCTGATGTAGGTGCAGCCCGTGCTCAGACACTCCTGCAGGGCCACGCAGCGCTTGGTGACCGAGACGCTCTCCCCGCTGGCCTTCATGGTGTGCTGGCTGAGGCAGTACCTCGTCCCTAAAAACATGGAAAAATTTTTTTTTGCCCATTTCCCTTTTCTTGGGGTTCCGGCGGCCGGGGAATTGGGGGGAAAATCTTGGATTTTTATCAAATGGTGGGATTTAAAAAGAAAAAAATGCCATTTTTTGATGTATTTATGTGCTGGCTGAGGCAGTACCTCGTCCCTAAAAACATGGAAAAATTTTATGTTCCCAATTTCCATTCCCTGAGAGTCCAGCAGCAGGAGAAATTGAGAAGAAATCTTGGATTTTTTTATCAAATCATGAGATTTTTAAAAATTGTATCTACAAATTTTTGATGTATTTATTGTATACAATATGCTGACTGGAACAGTAGCTTGTCCCTAAAAACATGGAATAAAATTTTATGTTCCAAATTTCCATTCCCTGAGAGTCCAGCAGCACGAGAAATTGGGAAAAAAATCTTGGATTTTTATCAAATGGTGGGATTTTCAAAAAATAAAAAATAAAAAATAAAAGATAAAAAAAATAAAAATAAAAAATAAAAAAATAAAATCTCCTCCTCCTCCTTTTTTTTTAACTTCCCCTCACTGACATCTGTAAATCACCCCAAAATTTCACAGCAAAGCAGCTGACACGTGGAATAAGGATTTCCAAGGAATTCCATAAAGAATTTGGATTTATTCCCTGCTTTTTTCATTGCAGGGGAGCTGAAGGTGCTTCCTCCCAGAGGAAAACATTGAATTTTCAACACTTTAAACGCACCACTGTAAATTTATTTTCTAAATTTTACCTCGTTTCTAATTAACTCAGTTATTATTAACAAAATTATCGCTTTCCCAGAGGGGGAAAAAAAAAATATTTCCATGTTTTCCAGCTTTTCCTGCCCTAAAATTCAGTTTTATCCCAAAGGAAAAAAATTCTGTGCAGCAGCTCCCAGAATTTTGCTGGAAGTGCCATTCCCTGCAAATCTGAATTTTATCTCTCCTGCTCAGGCAGATCCCACGTGGACTAAATAAATAAAATGGAATAAATGAATAAAATAAATAAATAAACTTAAAAAAAAATTAAAATATTTAGAAAGCATCCAACAATAAATAAATAAATGTTTCTATAACAGAATAAATAAAGCTTCCAACACCCCATAACTATTTTAGGGTTGTTTTATTCTTTATTCCTTCGGGGTTTTTTTTGTGGGTTTTTTGTTGGTTTTTTTTTGTTTGTTTGGGGTTTTGGGGTTTTTTGGGGGGTTTGGTTTTTTTTTGTTTTGGTTTTTTGTTGTTGTTGTTGGGGGAGGTTTTTTGGGGTTTTTTTTGGGTTTTTTTTGTGGGATTATTTTGAAGAGAGGGATTTTCCTGGCTCTGTCACCTCCTGCGAGGCCACCCACACAAAATCCACCGGAAGGAATAAAAATCCACACCCGTTTTTCTCCTGTCCAAACAAGGAATATCAGGATAGTCCTTCTGAGATATTTGAGTGGTTTGTTTGTATTAAAGGGTTCTTTTTTTTTTTTTTTCCTGAGATATTTGAGTGTTTGTATTAAAGGTTTTGGTTTTTTTTTTCTGAGCTGTTCCCAATTCCAGAAGCCCAAAGGGATTTCTGGGATCAAACCACTGAAAATATCAAAATTCCAGCCGTGGCTGTCCTGAATGTGGATTTGTACCAATGGGGAGGGAAGTGAACACAGCCAGAACTGGTCCTGTAAGAGAAATAAAATTCTTTAAAATCCTTCCCTGTGAGGGTGAGGAGGGGCTGGGCTGGAATTCCCAAAGAATTTGGGGTTGTCCCTGAATTCCTGGAAGTGTCCAAGGCCAGGCTGGAGAACCCTGGGATAGTGGAAGGAAGGGATGAGCTTTAAAGTTTATCCCAACCCAAACCAATGTGGGATCCTAGGAAAGCAACACCATTATAATCAAACTTAATCATTAATTTAACAAACACTATTTAATTTATTCAACGCTAAACCAAATGTTTGAATCCCCAGCTGAGCCAGAGGAAAACAGGGAACAGCTCCAAGTCCTCGACGAGGAGAAAAGCTTAAAAGATTAAGAATCCTTTAAGAATCCCATATTCCAGAATGCCATATCCCACATTTCTGGGAAGAACAGGGCTCCAGGTGGGTTGGGAAGGACTCCCGGCTTGGGGTGGTTACCTCGGGGGCAGTAAACATCTGGAGCCCAGCGGTTGCACTCGTAATTATCCGGGGCTTTCTCGCAGGTGAAACATTTAAATCCACGAGGATACGGCGTGGCTGAAAGGAATGGAAAACGTGGAATTAAAAGGGATGGATAATGGAATTCACACGACCCATTAATTCATCTGCTTCTGGGCTGCTTGCCAGGAGAAAAGAGCAGCAATTTTTTTCTCTTTAGACCCAAATTTTCCCCAATTTTCCTGCCAGTGTCAGCACTCCGGTTCTGATTTTTAAAACCCCGTCCCCCCTCCCCAGCACATTCAGGTCCCTGTGGATTCGTTCCATGAGGGAGATGTAATTTCTGTGCTCTGAACATAGCAAACTGATTTTAGTTTTTAGATTTTAGATCTGAGCTGTGCTCATCCTCTGTTGAAGGAGTGTGTGTGTGTGTGTACTTGTTTTTTATGTTTGCTTCTCCCTAGTTGTTCATACTTAAATCTGAGGCACTCTGGTGAATGAGGTTTTTGGGCAGTGTCTCATTAAATTTGATCCTGATGGCAGCATCAGGAAAGAGTTTTCAGTTCTTGCATCGTCAATGTCTCTTTCCTGCTCGTATTCCTTCACCTGTTCCACTAACAGCTCGTGCTCTGTTCCAGTAATAGCTCGTTTCTTACTCTTTTAGGAGCTGCTTTTTCTGCTTTTAGTTTCTGTTTTTTCCCCGGGGGCAGGGGCAGGGGGATGGAGCTCACTCACTGGAGGGGTGGAGGTAGACGATGTCCTTGGCCGTGAAGTCGCGGCTCCGCGCGGCCGGAGAGCGGCCGGGCAGGAACAGGAGCAGCAGGAACAGCAGGAACAGCTGGAACAGCTGGAACAGCTGGAACAGCCTTGGTGGCCAGGCCATGGCCCGGCCAGGACCTGCTCATGTGGCAACCAAGAATCCCCACCTGGGCAGAGTCACAGAAATCCAGAATTAACAGGGATGGAAAAGAAATCATCGAGTCCAAGCCGTGACCGACACCCCCCTTGTCACCCACGGCACTCGGTGCCACATCCAGGCTGTCCTCAGACACCTCCAGCCGTGGTCACTCCCCCACTGCTGCACTCTCCAAGTCTGAATTCTTCAGAGACAAATCAGAGTGCAGAGGTCGAATTAAAACTTTTGGATGGATTGAGGTATGTTAGGCCAATTACACATAAAGTAGAAGTTTAAGTTTTAAAATAACTAAGTAAGCAAGAAAGTAAAGATGAGTTTTAAGTGTTTTTAGAGAGTGAAAGTCTCAGATACCAGAGTAGAAGTGAGAGTTCTAGTGAAAAAACATAATCCTAGATACCAGCATTGAAAATGAGCCTCCATAGAGGCTCCAGAACAGTTTTACACATAATAAAACCGTAGTGAGAATATTGCTTGCATTTTTCAGCTAGAACAAGACAGACCAGGTGTATAATTTATTTGTAACCTGGCTGCTGAGCAACTCCAATTCCAACAGGTTAAGAAGAAGTGCTCTGAGTTGGGTAATTTGTATTTAACAATCTTTGCACTGGGGAGAGATTCACTTTTTGTTTTCTCCTTTTGTTGCTGCTCTCTCGCTTTTCTCCTCATCACCATCATCATCATCATCAGCCAAAGAAGAGAGGAGCAGCCACAGCAACATCAGCCCTGCCGGGATCTTTGTTTAAAACCCTAAACCAAAAACTTTTAACGTGAACTTTAACACTTGCAACTCTTTGCCTTTCGAGGCCGATGTGCCTTTGTAATAAACAACTTGGTACCGATTATCAGCTGCTTAGCTCTTTAAAGAAAACAACCACACCACAACAAATAATTCCTGGAGCATCAGAAAAATAACTCACAGGGCTGCCATTCCCATACCCAATCCCTCTTCCCATGAGGAAATGGCAGAGCAGGGATGAGCAGAGCAAACCCACAAGGACCTGGCCACCACCTCGTCCCCACAACCCAAGCCCAGAACTTCTCACTCCCGCCTTTATTTTGGCATCAACACCCCGGGAAAGAGCAGGACAAAGGATGTCCCTGGATTTCCAGGGCAGTGGAGGTTGGGGATTGTCATCTCCACCTTCCTCCTGACTCCTCCTCCCTGGCTGGGCCCCATCTCCAGCACCCTGAGAGCTTCTTACTGATTTTACCTCGGCATTTCCTCTTGGAAAAGCCTCCAGCTCAGAGCTGCAAACAAAGTCACCCTTGGATTTTCCACATCCGTGCTCCAAAGGGATTTATTCCCTTTATAATGTCGTTAATAAATCATTTTGTGGATTTTTTTTCCCCAGTCCTTGCCTGATGGGAATTAATTAAAGCAGAACCAAATAATCACTGTGGGACCATCCCAAACCCAGCAGCTTTCAGGAGCATCCCAATCCCATCCAGGGACAGACAAGGCTAAAATAAAAAAAAAAAAAAAAAAAATCATTAAATACCCAGCTCAGGTTATTATAAACCTTTAAAAATTATGGAAATGCCTCAAAAATCGACTGGGACAGGAAAATCCTGAAAGGATGCAGCTGCTGAGCCTGGCAGGAGCCGATGGTTTCCTTTGGAATCCATCCATAAAACACCCAGGGTTGGGATGAGTTTTTCCCACCCTGATCCACCAAGAGATCTGCAACACCCAGATAATTCCTAAGCAGCTCTGAACTCGTGGTGGTTACTATCTAATTAATTTATTTTTATTTTCTTTTTTTCAGGAAAGATATGATGGGATTGGGGATGTCACTTCCAAATATTTGTCCCACAGTAGAAATCCAGCCAGGACCAGCAGCACAAAAGTTGTTTTTGTCCCTGCTCTTATCTGCAAAAAAACTTTTTAATTAAAACACAGTGAAACCCATTAAAAAAATATGAGGAAAAAAGATAACGCACAGCCAGGTGCTTTAAACTTTGTTACTTTAACCTTTTGAAAAGGGAATTTTGGATTTACTCCATAGATCCCTCTCAGCCAGGGGAGAATAAAATCCTGATTAGAAGCAGACAGGAAGTAAAACAAAAAAACAAAACAGGAAGCAAAACAAAAAAAACCTGTCCCAACCACGTGGACGATGAAAGAAATGGGTCCACGTTGGATCTGGAGGGAGGATTTGGAATTTGGGACGATTTTTTTTTATCCCAGACAACACCAGGGATGTTTTACAAACCTCACTCTTCATTTTAAGGCATCAGCAGTTTGCAAAAACTGAGGATTTG